CACCCCACCATGTCTGCTGCCCACGTCCCTCAGTGCCACATCTCCATGGCTCTTGGACACCTCCAGGGACTGGCACTCCACCACCTCACGGGCAGCTGGGCCACTACATCACCGCTCTTTTGGAAATGTTTCCTAATATTCAACATGAACAACTTATGGCCATTACCTCTAATTCTATCACTAGTTCCTAACCAATCTCTCAGAGAAACACCAGCAGGACTCTCCAAATCTATCAAACACTGAAGATCAAAATCAGTAAACCTTACAGCTTGAGGTCAGTGCCGGCATAGCCAAGAGAAAGCAGCATAGGATGGCAAAAACACCAATAACCAATAGCGTAACATATCGTAATAACCAAAGGAGACAAGATTTACTGATCAAATCAGACGCTTTCTTTATTGCAGCATCCTCAACATCTCATCTCTAATACCTCTAGGGTAGAAAAACCTTATCTCTATTTCATAGGCAGAGGAGTTGGGACAAAGGACAACCATCCCAGACTCTTTCTTTGGGACAGACTGCTGCCTCCTGCAGGTGTTTCACCCCCCAAAGCCACGCAGGACACACTGGTACCTTGCAGCTGGATCGTTCAGATTCTCAATTACATTCCTCTCACGAGCCTATTCCATTAGTCCTCAAAATGAGTACCTTCTTGTCTGTATTTTACCATTTAACAACCACTTTGTGACAAAGAGCGCATGGCTACTGAAGCGTGCTGCGAAGCACCCTGAGCACAGCCTACATCAACACCTTGTCCAACAGACCGGGGCCCAGGGTGCTGAGTCTTCCTTCACTTCTTGTTTCTCATGAGGCTTTTACTTTTCTCTAATACAAGTATTAAAACTCGAGGGGAAATGGGACACAGCTGATGTTTTAAGCATGACTTGAAGCCAAACTGTGGAAAAGCAGAGAAAGCAGCTATTCTTTCTAGACATCACAGTCTGGGAAGCCAATGCTACCGAGTGTGGGGATGAAGGGAAGGTAGGGAAAGAGAGAGGAGCAAAAAAGAGTAAAAAAAGTAAAACTCTGCCCTCTGAAAGTGGAAGGACAAAGTGAGAGTCGGTCAAATTAAGAAAACGTCTTTACCTTTGTGTTAATTCTTAGCAACAATCCTGAAATTTGAATTGAGGAATGCTGAAAGATTTGCCCTCTGGAACAGCACAGAGTAGCACAGCACTGCGGTGAGACAGAAGGTCCTCCCACAGCAGAAACTCTTCTTGAGAACGGGGCTGCATGCAGCTGCAGTGTTCCACAGACATATCACATACCCATGCACCATACACAAACCAAAAGCAATGAGCTAATACATAAACAAGTGCTTCAATAAATATCTTTCCCTTTTGTAACCCATAGGAGGGTATAAAATAAATACTACAAAATTAGTGAAAAGAACTGATTTTTATGACAATTGAATAAATGCTACCCTGGATGCGGAAACAACACTGAAGTCAATGTGGACACACACTTTCCTCCCACAAGAAAAATAATCAAAGCATTACAGAGCATCTGCTTTGTCCATTCAGCTCCAAATTGTCACTCACTGGGATCTGAATAAAGTACGTGGGAATCTAAATCACGACAGATTAAGGAAAATTCTTCTGCTCTATTCCTGTTCATTACAACCGTTTTCAAGTTGTCTTTCTCATCTCCATCAGAATACATGAATTGCTGCATCGAATGTGGTGCTAAAAATACATAAGAAAGAGCTTTCTCCTCCATAAAATACAGTAAAATAACAGCAATGCAAGCACTGCACACACCAGGTAATGGATACTGTTGGAAGCCAGCAGGAGTCCTCCCATGGGTCCACCAAGGACTGGCTCAGTGCAACATTCCCCACAGCCCACAGTCACCCATCTTTTCCTCTCATGTGAAATGCATGACTGCCTCCCTGCTGCAGCAAATCACAGCACCTGCTTACAGGCACTGGAGCAGAGACCAGGATAAATAACTGGGTTAACAGAAGACTGTCCATGAATTTCCATGACTTGAAATGGTCTTTATGGTTTGATTTTTGGGTGATCCTGTGTGGAGCAAGGAGTTGGACTCCTACATCCTTATAGGTCCCTTCCAACCTGAGATAGTCTGTGATTCCACAACATCAAGTCTTCCAAAGCAAAACATGGCACACGTGTTATACAGAGCCATGTCAAGAGTGCTTCTGAATACTTGTTCTTCAATTTTCCCCACTGAATTGAGCTTCTGAGGATTCCAAGTAAAGATAAAAGGAAAAAAAAAAAGCAAAGCTGGAAATTTTTTTAGCTGAGGACACATGAAACAGGGCTTCTCAGGACTCATAGTGCTCCTAGGGACTGAGAGAAGAAAGTCTTGGTGTCTCATGGGAGAGGCAAAGGGTGGCATTGGGGCAGTATGCTAGAGCAGCTTTACCTCCAGAGCTGCACTCCGCACAGATAAATTGAAAAGAGGACACACTGACAAAAAGAGGATATAAACTGAATGGCAATGATGGAAGCTATCCAAGCTATTTGAAACTCGTGCACATTATTATCTTTCTCAGCCATCGCTGTTGCTTTTTAAGGAACTTCAGTCTCAGTTCTATCAGCAGCCCTGCTGCTGTCCTCCTGAGCTCTCCCAGCCCATCCTTTCAGGAACAGTGGGCTGGTGAGAATCACAGCAAAGTTTTACAGGTCTGATTTTCTTTAAAGTACAGCTGTAGTGAATGATCTGTTCTTGTGTTTTTAATGTTTGCAATGAATGGCACAGAAATGTCCCAGCAAAGCTGTGATAGCTTGAATATAGCACACCCAGCTCCAGGCACACACCTGATAAACTCCAGCCACTGAGAAGCCCCACTGGTTCTGTGCTGCTGCTCCCTGCATTCCCCCAGCAGTGACTGCTATTCTAACACACCATCCATGCCATGGAGATGCAGGGCATGGCACTGCCATCTCTGTCACCCTCGAACCACCTGTGCCCTGGGGACACATCCATTCACAGTACAGTCTTCATATCCTATCCTCTGCTCCTTCATATGTCTTATTCATTCCACCTTTTCATTCTGTTTACTTTCTGTTAATCAGCTTTTTTATGCGGCTAGAATCAAACAGATATAATGACTGCTTGTTTCAGGAGATCAGAAAGAGAAACTGCATGTCATCAGCAGCAGCCCTGGTGATAATAACTGCAAAAGCAATCATGAGAAAAACCATTTCAGTAATAATGATAAGAGTAAAAATTATTGTGCCACCAAGAGCTCCCTGGTGCTGCCACAGCTCTGGATTAAGGCATAGTGGCTGGAGGCTGGCCCAGCCTGTGAATACAGGAGCCAGTCCTCCCTTCTACAGGGCATTTGCTATAGTAGTGCCACGGTTAGGGCACAACCCTTCCTGCAGTGCTTTTATTCTCAGAAAGGAAAGACAGAGCTCGTCGTGGGGTATTTCAGATCCACCCCATTCCCTGACACCTCAAGGCAGGGAGACACATCAGTGCAGCTGAGGTGATGAACAAAACTTAATGAACCCACCACGGCTCTGGGGAAGTCCACCAACTGCTGCAGGCTCTGCTCTCTGCAGGCAGGGGCAGAAGCACACAGCAACAAAAAGCTATGCTACCGCACCAGGAAGCAGCACTGATGGAAGCACAGCAGATACACAACATGTCATCAAGGGCAGGAATGATTTGCTACAACACAAACCTTGAAAAAATCAGATTAGTTGACTCTTAGTAATCACTACGAACATTGCCTGTCTCATCACTGAAGGTCTCAAATGAGGTCAGCTGGGCTGTTAAAAAGGGAATGTGCCCTTACACTTGGGTATCTGAAACTGGAACAGGTGCAGGCTGCACAAGTCACTTTATAAGCAGGTGAACACAAACACAACAATTCAACAAATGGAAGTAAATATCTTTATCAGACATGCAGCCATAAAGAACACCTCCTTGTTCCCCACAAGCATCGTCAAACCAGACTTTCCATTTTCCAGTAATAAACACTAAGTGTTGCCAAATTTACTGATCTCCCCTTGTGTCTTCCCTCCCATTCCTGATGCTGACTGTGAGAAGTAGATTGTGTTTTTGTAGTACAACAGTTCTAATGCTAAGGAATTGAATTTTGCTAAACTTTCTTTTAAAATGGCTGCAGGGGAGGGGTTGTTCATAAAGAATCATTGGGGCATAGCTTAGTACAAGGTAGAGTAAGTTTGCCAAGTAGCTTGGATGTCAGAGTACCTAGACCAGGGCAAGGCAATAAGGAGGGAGAGTCCAGCATGCATTGTCCTCCTGTCCCCCATGAAAAACATGGAAGGCCTAGTATGCACTGTTCACTTGTTCTCCATTGAAAAATGAAAGAACAACAGATGGGGGATAAACTGATATAGAAAAATGTTTTAGCAAACATACTGGGAAGACTGTGAGCTTGATATACTTAACCAAGGAGCGACAGGAGAGATCACCCATATTGGACAGAGGGTATTCAATGGAGGGGAACTCAGTGATAAGCTGTGCCACTTCTCCCTGCCATAAGGGGGTATTATGCCCATTACTGCAATAATAAATATATTTGCTGCTTTGCAAAGATCTTTGCCTGACGAGAAATTATTGATTCTCACATGATAGTTCACTTGCAGTGTCAGAAGAGGCCATACAGACCTGCACGCAGATCAGCTGAGAAGGAGCAGCTCTTGCTCTCATTTTTTCTTTCTTGTTTTACATTCTCAACAAATGAGATCAGTATCAGATCTGTATTTATAGAAATACACCCTCCTACCTCATGTGCTTGTTTCTGTGTCAAGAAATTTAGAGCTAAGCATTGGGAAAATGATCATGGCCCTGCACATCTTTTTAAAGCACAGATGGGACTTCCATACCATTTTTATTTCTATATTTACGTTGAAACTATGAATTCAAGGAGCTGCAGAGCCAAACAACACAGAATCTAAAATGTAACAACTGTTAAGACTCTCACTGCTGCTTATTTAAGGGAGAAATCAACTTCTTTTTCTCAGCAAAACCGCAAGAAAAGAAACTAAGGATCTACTCACACTGTACGATGAGCTGCACCAAAGCTTCTCTGGGCTTCACATTGAACCCGTTGTACTGGCTGGTCTGGCACCTGTAGGTGCCTGTCATCTCCCGGGACACGTTCACTATCCTCAGGATGCCATCGTAGCTCTCCATCTGCATCGTGCCATCTGGCATCGCCACCTCCTTGTCGGCGCGGGACCACAGGATGATGGGCTTGGGCTTCCCCGTCACCTGGCACTGCAGCTCGATCGTGTCTCCTTCCCGTGTGACCAGGGGGGACTTTTCTTGAGGAACAGTCAGATTGGGTGGGACTTCAAAGGAGAAGAAGAGTTTGACAATTAGCATCACAGAAACATTAAGTAGCCTTCTTGCTCATATGGTTCTAATTATATATCAAGAAATAAAGAGCAATGCATATTGATTGCATGTATCAGGAGTCTGTGAGACACTACTTTATTTACAGGGCAAAAGGCTCAGCTGCTTGAGTTAAAAATAAGATTTAACAGCCCCAGACAAGGAACTTGCTCATCACCCTGCAGACACCCAATGTGCCAAATGCCATACTGGTGTCTATCAGCACACTGGGACCAACTCTTGCAGCCAGCCCTTTATCACCATGAATCACAGCTTTCCTCTGTATGGGTATTTGCAACTAAAACCTTTTTTTATTTTCTTTCCCAACAGACTAGCTGCTGATTTTATCCATCTCAAAGGCCATGCAGAGGAAGGATCAGGCCAATCAGAAAGCGACTCAGAACTGGAAGTAAAACACAGTTGGTGCGTACATAGCCCAGGAGGCTCATTGAAGCTGCACTTCTTCAGATATCTCTGCCTTAGCAAATATGGAAGGAATAGGTGAAGAACTGCAGCCAACAGAATGAAGGTAACTCTGTAGGCCGGAACAATTGGCACGGCTGTGCTTATCCCTCCTGCTCTCTGTAGCCTTGCAAGTGCAAGACCACCTAATTGCAGAATCACACAACCAAAGGGGATGGAAGGAAACTCAAGAGATGACTGAGTCCAATCCCCAATTGCTACCAACTGCATTACAATCACAGACCAACCCGAGCAGGGAGACGCCCTTAAGGATCATTGAATCTGACTCCTAGCAATGCTTATCTCAGCAGAGACACTGCAGGGTCTTTGATCAGAAAATTGTGTGTCACCACTTGCAAAGCTAGCAGAGTTCATGTGCCATGCAGCCACTGAGCACCCATGGCCATCCTCCTGGTGGAGGCAGCCCCTCTGCTGCAGTGGCTGCATTTGATAATTACAAACTGCTGCAAGCCCTACAGACCTGTTGAAAGCAGTTTTGCTACCTCCAATTAGCGTCACCATCTCCTCATAACTTTATCAGATTTCTATCCAATTTCCTACTTCTTTCTTAGCACGAGGCAAATAAAAGAATTGTCTCTGAGGTCACTCCAGATCACACACCTCGCCTTTGGCTCTGAATGTGTTAGGATGGGGCTGAAGATATGAAAAGCTTGATTTAAAAACCCAGTTTCCCTTTGTGCCTTATTAAATGTTGGCTGCACTTGCAGGCCTTCCGCTCAGAAATGAAGAGTTACAGAGCACCTTGTTCAACACCAGTCACTTACAGACCTGCCCTGCACAACAACATCTGAATGCCAGCGCTGACAAAATACAGCTCGAATAATTTCATTTCTGCCCCTACAGACTGCTGCTGTTTGGATGCTGAGAGGGGCCTTCACACACAGAGTTCTGCTTGCCGGGAGCACCGCACACGGCAGCCGTTCCCTGCTACCACACCGTGAGGAGCCGGACCCCGTGCAGCTGAAGAGGTGTCTGCACAGAGCTTCTAACAGAGACTCCTGTTACAGCTGGGCAGGGACCGCCCGGCCTCTCCGAGAGCCGCGTCCCTTTTGTTCCGGGAGCTTTGGCCTCTGCACAAAAGCCAAGAAATGCCTTGCTCAACTCAGAGCTGTGTTTGAGTGTGACCTGTGCAAGGAGGGACTGCAGCGTCAGCTGCACAGTGCCGTGGTGAGACGGCTTCAGAATACTGCCATGACGGGAGAGTCCACCGTCCCCTGGGGCAGTGAGATCTGTGCTCGGTCACCCTCAATTTCAGAGGATGCTCTGTGATGTTCAACCAGCCTCATGTGTCCTTTTAGGGAGGCCGAATGCCATCTTATTTTACCAGAACCTCTATCAGCTGGGGAAGGCATATGAGTTGAGAGGAAACCTTCCATGCTTTGTTCGCTCCATTTTAGTTCTTTGGGAAGAACAGGAAGGCAACAAACTGCAGCTGTACTGCACTGTGATTTTGGTGTAGGGTTTTATCCCAGCAGGCAGCTCCAAATGCACTGCTCTCTACTCACTGTTCCCTCTGTGGAACTGGGAGAGAATCAGAACAAAGGTGAAACTTGTGAGTCAAGAAAAGCCAGTTTAGTAGGACAGAAAATGGAGGAATAATGAGTGAAGAATCATCCAAAGTGTCCAGGGCAGGGGTAGAGCTGCCTGGAACGTGATTGCAGCTCTGCTTTGTGACTGTGGCTGACAGTGCCTGTGGATGAGCTCTGTGGCTGCCCTCTTCCCCCCAGGGCTGTATCTCCAAGTCATTGTTTGGCATGTTGATGTGCTTCTTGAATCTTCAGTCATGAAGGGGTTTGGTGTATTTTTCGTCACCAGATCCATCTGTATATTATTAAACTTGCAGCTACTTAATTACCTCTTGTATCTTAATTCTGCTGTCAAATTTGGCTTGAATTATCAGCAGTCCAAACGCTGCAACGGTGCACGGTTCTGGCCTGTCAACTGACATGCACAGGAAGCATGATGACACGGGATTTGTTTCCACAAGCATTATAGGTAAGGAAAAGCCTTCATAGAAACTTAAATCAATGCCATACCCACAGACAGAAGGAAGGGAGAATTAAAAAACAAAACCAAAAATGAACAAACACACAAAAAAACAGGCTTGAGGAGAAAATAATCATTTGACATTTTGTTCCCTATCAACAACATAGGACTGAAGAGCAGGGGGGAGGCAGCTGAGCCAGCAGGGGTTGCCCAAGCAAGGCATGGGAGCAAAGATGCAGGAGGAAGGTCGTGTGAGCAAGGGCCTGCATGCAGGTAGAGGTGCTCCCGGGTGAGCATGATTGAGCAGAGTGCCCCCCGCTGTGCCAGGTGTTACCAGCTGTGCCAGGTGCCACCAGCTCTGCAGCTGCAACCAGTTGTGCCAGGAGCTGCCAGCTGTGTTGGGTGCCATCTGCTTGCCAGGTGCCACCAGCTGTGCCAGCCTTCGTCTCCCGGCAGGTGCTGCTGTGGCACAAGCAGAGTCTGGAAGGGACTCAGCCCTCTGCTAAGGCATCTGCACGTCTCTTGCAGCACCAGCTAGAATCTGCTGCAAATAAAGGTCAATTCTGTTCCTGCTTGTGAAGAATAATAAATTGGCTATACGCTATACCTGAAACAACAAGCATCACCTTATTTACGCTACAATTGGCTTGAAAAATAAGGGAATACTCTTAGTGCTTAAACCCGTTTTCCAAAGCCGAGTCTTATCACTCAAGAAACGAAAGTGTTAGTTACACTGAAGAAGCACCTAGTTTAAAAACACATATTGTTATCCTTTGGAACTGGCAGATCTGAGAGCTACTGCTGATTTATGTCCACTCCTGGCTTTTAAACAAAACTGTCTCAGACAGCCTTTGCCTCCAAAAGCCACCAACTCACCAAAGGTCAGATGGCAGAAGGTATCACTGTATTTTTCTCTACAGGAGAAGGCGTATGGAACCAAAATAGATTGCTCAAAGTCAACATGTATATGCTTTATTATGTTTATGCACTGAGTATTCTGTCTAAACATAAACTAGTCGTAGTCTAGTCTAGATCTTGGAAATCTTGATGAGTCCTAGAATAATAGAATCATATAATCACAGAATGGCTTGGGTTGGAAGGGACCTCAAGGATCATGAAGCTCCAACCCCCCTGCTACATACAGGGCCACCAATCTCCATATCTAATACTAGAGCAGGCTGCTCAGAGCCCCATCCAACCTGGCCTTGAACACCTCCAGGGATGGGAGTCGACTTACTGCACCTACTTCAAACCTTCAGAGAGCTTAATTAACTGCCCTGTGATTGCACAAAGAAGGGAGGGCAAATGCAAGAACCTGCTCACATAGAAATCATTTGACTGGGCAGAAGACAAGCAACATGAGAAGGCCTTAGAACTGTTGGCCCAAAGGCAAGCTTGAAGGAGAACAGGTCCTCACTGAGTGTTTCATTGGGGATTACAGGGGGCACAGAGAATGGATGTGGAGGTGACTGTCAGTTTTGGGCTCGGTGCCTCCAAAGGACACCCTGAAGCCATGACTGCCAGCCTAAGCAGTGACAGGGAGGTGGTGGCTATAGGAGTTGTGAGTTAGGGTGACTGGACTGACTGAAATGATCTAATGGTAATAGCTTGTAATTGCAGGATAAAGGAAAGCAAAGCATGTTTGAGCTGCATATCAAGAAATACTGGAAAAAGTATGGAGATGGCTCAGAAATAAACTGAAAAGAGATTATCACATTGTTTTGAGTAATTTGAATTTGCAGTAATTTGCATTTTAATCATCCTGGACAGCCAAGACTGAAGAATGTACACTGTACTGGCTAGGAGGCATAAGTGAGATTATTTGCCTATCCCACTTCTCTAATATTTATAAATGTGAAGGTCTGAATCTCTAATCCTCATAATCCTCAGCAAGACACAACTATTTCAGTCCCTGTTCCTGATTCGTTCCTTATGTGACTGTGGTGGGAGTTGCAAGATGGATAAGAAGGGCAGACTGAACTTTAGAATCAGAAGCCAACCTGGAGTACAAGATGCACTAGAATGAGATCATTTAGCCTGTGCAAGGCAGCAAGGGACAGTTATTCAGGTCCTCAAGACATCTCTGTAGACAGGGAATAATCTTCACCAAAGGAAGGTCATGCCTAACTAATCTTGTGGCCTTCTATGATGGAGTGACGGCATTGGTGGACGAAGGGAAGGCGACTGATGTCATTTACCTGGACCTGAGCAAGGCCTTTGACATGGTCCCCCACCACATCCTCATCTCCAAATTGGAGGGAAGTGGATTTGATGGGTGGACGACCCGATGGGTAAGAAACTGGTTGAAAGGCCGCAGACAGAGGGTGGTGGTCAATGGCTCTATGTCCAGGTGGAGGCCGGTAACAAGTGGTGTCCCCCAAGGGTCTGTCTTGGGACCGGTGCTCTTTAACATCTTTATTAATGACATCGATGAGGGAATTGAGTGCACCCTCAGCAAGTTTGCTGACGACACCAAGCTGAGTGGTGC